AGATTACTAGCCTCGGAAACAATAAGGTAGTTATATTTGGTTGCTTAAATGCCTGGGTTTGTAATGTTCTTGTTATAGCAGCAACAGGAAACTCATACAATGAATTAGGTTTATGTCCCAGAGAAGAGGCTTGAAACAGACTTGAAAGTCTGTCTCTCTTCTTAGAGACTTGCCAGACAAGTCTCATGTATCACTCATATTCCTTGAGTTCAGAAAAAGGCTGATTCAGTAATCACACATTTGATAGAAGTTATTGCCATCATGGGTAATACATACCTGCACAAATAAAAACATACAACACTACAATGTCTCTAAGAAAATGAAAGAGTTTTTTGCTTATTACAATATAAAGCATATTACAGGTATATCACACAATTCTACAGCGCAGGCAGTTATAGAAAGATAAATCAAACTCTAAAGAATATGTTAAATAAACAGAAAGGAATGATAAATACCCCCAGAAATTGATTGCATAATGCTTTATTAACTATGAATTTTCTAAATACTCATGAGAAAGAAACAACAGTTGTGGAGAAACATTAGATAATTGGAAAAACTACGGAATTAAAACTACGGAATTAAATCAGCTAATATACTTTAAAGATGTACTGACCTCAGAAGGGAAAGCAGGACATGTGTTACATTGGGGAGGGGGCCTTGCTTTTGTTTTTACAGGAGGAGAAAAGTTATGGATACCATCAAAATTGATAAAGGTTCAATTTAAACAAGAGGCATCTCTTAATTAGAAGAGATGTTAGTTCATTAATAACCATGGATATTTAATCTAAACTAACCTATAAAACTAACAAATGCTTTTAATTTGATCAGATATAACTTGCCAAAAGAGAATCACCCAAAATTAGGGTTGGGGAGGGGTTTTGTTTCTCTATTTTCAGGGGGAATGAAGGTATCCAGATGAGGAATCTGAAGACCATTGGACAAATGTAACAGCTGAAAAAAAAAAATCCAAATCATACAGAAAAAATGTTTCAAGAAAAAGAGTAAATTGGCCTATTGGTATATCACATTTCCAACAATAGAAAATTTCATAAATCTTCCTAAATGTTTCTTTCTGTTGTTCTCTACAGACATATAATACAAATGGTCTTTTTGTAGTTCCATTCTAATTAAAAATTAAAGCTGGCTTTGGAGTTGGAGTGTGGCTCTCTCCTTCTCTAAAACCAAACATGCTCATTAAGATGAAATCCAAAATCTCTGTCTCATGTCAGAAGAGTCACCTGATATGGGACAGAAGAAAAACAAATATTTTAGGATTATTTTATTGATATTACCCCATAATCCTTTGGTTTTATATGGACTCTTTAACAGCTTTTCCTAAAGTGTATGATTTAATATATGTGTGTGTGTGTGTGTGTATTTTAAACTTTTTGTCATAATATTAATGATCATATAGAGTATTAACTAATTCTATAAAAAGGTTTCATCTATCTTCCTGTACACAATTTTGGCTTTGAATCTCTATCAGTTTTCTGTAGTAAACCATGAGCCTAACAATGACCTTTGAAGTCCCCAGAATGAGGATGGGTCCCCATAGTGATGATTCCTCCAGGACTATGACGACACCACTAAGCTGAAACACACTGCCTAAAGATCAGCTTTGAACTACAAGCTGCTCAGAACAATTTCAAGGTGACTAGCGAAGATTATCCAGCCCAGCAGACTGTTTTAGCCAGGACTTGAGATAAGTCCTGCACTTTCCCGTTACACAGAGACTGGACAACAAATAATGCAGCTCCCTCTTCCAGGACTTGACAATTAACCCAAAGTTTTCTTTTCAGGATTCTCTAAAGATACTGTCACCCCAGACAGCAGGAAATAAATATAAGAATACGATGCCCACATTCCTGAGAGGTGGGGTGGGTGATTTTTGGTGGCTCAGTGGGTCATGGATATTTGTCATTATTTAAAAGGGCTGGTTACAAGTTATTATTGGTAATGGTCAGGAAAAAAGCTAAACGAAGGAAATTAGATTCAAGGTCCTTGTTTTGAAAAGAAAAGGGGGGATATAAACATGATAGGATAGAAGGGTAGATTATTGAATCTACTCTGAAAAAAGGGAGGCTATAGATATGATAAAATCAAAGGTAGATTATTGTATCTACTTTTAAAAAGCAATTACTAGTTTTAAATGTTTTATGTTGGATTGGACTTTTGTATATTGTATACAAATTTTGTATATTGATACAAATTTGAGATTAATTTTGTTAAAACATATTGTACATATGTTTACAATCTTGTTCAAGGTATTGTATCTATACAGATCATTTAACAATGTAACATTAACTGGAAATGCAAATTTCCAGTCCTTGAAAGTTATTATTACTAACTGTTTAGGATAAAAAGAAAAGGCAGGTTAGTAATTAGTCACCTATTACAATCGAACTTGTAGTCTCATTAGGTATGTTTTCAAGGTCAAAAGAGATATATTTTAAATAAAGAGGTCATCTTCAAACACTTCAGAGATATACAGAATATAGCACTTAAGATGTTTTAATAACATAGGTTCTTTTTCTTATGCCAATGAGACATGTGTGCTCCTGGCAACATCAATTTACTTCAGAGAAGATGATGGGCGTTGAAGAAACTCCACATGGAGTTTACTTTATTTGTGGCTAAGGTAAGCCACTGGGCAAGAAAATGCCCTTGCCTTGACTGCTGACAGTATGCTGTCCTAATTGGACAAGCAGGACACAAAAGAAAGGGACTGTCAAACATTGTCAAGATAAGGAAGGATAGCCCTTCAGAATATCCTCCTTCACAGAAAAGTCTATTGGATATGCAACACCTGTAGGTCAAAGATGGATGCCCCACCATTGCAGAGGAACTTGGGTAGCTGTCCAGGCAGTCAGCTGTTTCTGTCATTTCTAACATTTTTGAAGGTCATTTTCTCATAATTCCTTCTTACTTAGTTAATATAATATTTTCTTTTTGGGTCTCTGAGGGAGTTAAAGGCTAGATAGTTATAGTTTTCCTTATTTACCTGGTGCAGAAAGCAAGTTATGATAGAAAGTAAATTAGGTACAAGACTTTGGACTCACCAAGATAGGATAGCTAATGGAGAATTTTCTCTGAATCTGTCAAATGCAAATAGACAGATATTGTTGATCTATTTATTGCCTGAATATATTGTATATAGTTATTGTACTTATTGTATATAATTTTTCTTATATTAGTTATAGCCTTTTTATTTTAGACAAAAAAGGTGAAATGTAGTGATATTTCTTTTGTATTTTAATAAATAAAGCTTGCCTGAAGAACAGAATGCAAAATGACCACACTAGTCAGCCATAGAGCCAGGCGGTGGTGATGCAGGCCTTCGATCCTAGCACTAGAGAGGAATATAAGGCAGGTTGAGGCAGGAACTTGTCCACTTTCAGTCTGAAGATTTCAAAGAGGTAAGAGGTCTCTAGTGGCTTGACTGGTTTTGCTTCTCTGATCTTAAAATTGAACCCCAATATGTGCCTCTGGGTTTTTACTATTCGTGCAGCAAAGTGGTGTCCCTGGGATTCGGGTGCAGGGCCCAGGTTCTACAGCCACACTGGCTGCACTCCAGTCTTGGTTGGCCGGGCCTCAGCATGCAACAGGCATCTTTCTGCCTTCTTTCCTCTTAGAAACGGCTCTGCTGGTACTTCTTGTTGCCCACCTTTTCTAGGTCATAAATCTTGAGAAGCAGCTCCGACATCTACCCTGGGGTGGACACACTGTCCTCATGTTCCAGAAGGAGAGTGAGGGATCCAGAGTCTACCACTCTAAGGTTGTTGCTGAAGGCTGTGAAGCGAGCCTACCATTGACCCCGTGGCCACATACGGGGTGGGAGAGGTTTGACTGCCATCTGCACAGCATTTCCCTGCCATCAAGGTGGACTGTGCAGCTGGCATTTACAAAAGCTGCAGCCTGCCTGCTGCAACACAGCGGTCATCTGCTACCAGCCAACTCTAATAATCTTCTTTCTTTTAAAAAAAGATTTTATTTTTAATTAGGTGTACGCACATGTGTCTGTGTATAATATGCACACATAAGTGCAGCTGTTTGCAGAGGCCCTGCAGCTGGAGTCACAGGCGGTTGTTAGCCATCTGACGTGGTCACTGGGACCCTAACTCAGGACCTCTGGCCGAGCAGTGCCTGCCCCTAACCACTGAGTCATCTTTCTAGCTCAATGGCATTCAATCTTGATTCCCCTTTGGTTGGGTTGAAAAGTGCCAAAATTAGTAAAGGACACTTTCTGGGTTTCTGGCGGGGGTGGGAGGTTGAGGGGGAAAAGCCACCCCACCCTGAATGCAGGCTTCTCTGTTGCATAGGTTGGGGCCCTGGATGGAACAAAAGGGGAAGAAAAAGCCTGCAGCGTGCACACGTACTCCACCTGTGTTCTGGTCATCCCAAGGTGAGTGTTTATTGCTCTAGGATCCTCAGTTTTGACATGTCACCTCACCCCAGGTTCAGAATAGATGGGATCTGCTAACGAGGGATTGTGACCTTTGAAACCCCCGAGCCAAACGAAATCCTTCAAGTTGTTTGTGGTGGGTATCATGTCAGAAACAAGATGGCGTGTGTCTGCTCATATCTCTACACCCTCTTTAACACTGTGAGATCAACTTCCAGAATCATAAAGCGCACAATGTCCTTGGCATCCTGGGACACAGGTACCCGAGCTTCCAGAGGCACCATTGCAGGGTGATGGGGCCTTGGCTTCTGTTTCCCTTCTTGTGCCTTATAGATCCCTGCCACATGCCACCCAAGGTGCTCATCTGTGTTCACACATGAAGCTCTCAGGCCCTCGGGTCTTCCTCAACACTGAATACCTCTGGAGACTGAAACACAGGGTGAACATGCAAAGGGGTCCCAATCATTGGACCAACCCCAGAGCCCCCAAGGGCCTGTGTAGATGCTTTCCCTAAACACAAGAATGCTTCCTAACCCGTGCCAGGCCAAGGCATGCCTAAGTTCCTATTCTTCTGAGAGAAGAGGCGAAGACAACTATGTCCACAGGTCAGAGTTTATTTCATAGTGACTCATTTATAGCATTTTTCAAGTACAAGATTCTGTCCAACATCGTTGACACGTGGAAACAGAAGAGCACAAGCTGGTAAGGCACCTGCAGAGCGGTGAGGCTCCCCTCTTGGCTTGGACTTCTGGGGAGCTGCTCACATGTCTGTTGAGCAGAAAATAAAGGTATCAAAAGTTTGCTTGCACACGCGGTGAGGCGACAGCTTTGCGGCCTGCTAGTCTGTTTTCCAGGTGACTCGGCCTACACTGAGAGTCTAAAGAGACATGGCTACGCACACGGCTCACAGAGCCCTCCCAAGACACCAGCCTGTATATTCTGCCACTTTTCAGCCACAAAGAGAATCAATTTTACATTTCACTCAGGCACGTACTTTTAAAAATTTCTCAGCCCAAATCTCTATTTTCGTAAAGTAAAAATGCAGGAAAACCTCAAGTACATTTAGACCTTATTACTCCATCGGACGCAGTAATATATTGAAAACTTGCAGGTCAGTGTCAGCCCAGTAGATTTGTGGCATAACAGCCCAGGAATATCCATCCCGGAAGGAAGTGCCCAGAGCTTGGTCACATAACATCCTTCATGCCACTTCCCAGTGGCCCAGAGGCCAGGCGCGAGGCCCCACGGTCCTGGCACCATCCTTCAAGTCTGTGTTCTAAATGTTCATTTCCTTGGTCTCCACTACATTTGCTTTTATTATAACGTTTAAAATTAAATAACTCACTCCTCCCCACCCACCTTCTATACACAGGATAGGCGGAGCCTCCTCTTGGAGGCGGGCTTTCCAGGCAGCCAAGCACAGTAGGGCAGTAAGCTCTGTCCACAGTGAGATGCATCAGGAAAGTGCGGCTGATGTCACTGGCACTGTGCTGGAGGCTCAGGCACAAACAGTTCATCTTTCCTGGTGGTTCAGCAATTAACCTTTTCATTTTAATAAAGAAAGTCCTAGGTCCTATTCGCCAGCAGGAAGAAGTCTTTGACCTGAAATATGACCTGATCTTTTTACTTTTTTTTCTATAGAAAAGCATAAGGTTGATTTTTTTTGTATAAAAAAATTTTTTCACAGACAGAAAATTTTGTTACCAGGTGGCCACAAAGAGGTACCTTGCCCACAGCAAACGAGAAGCTGGGATTCATTGCCTGGCCCCTGCGGCGTCTTGGAAGTACCTATAACACTGTGAAAGTGCTTTCCTAACACAGGACAGTCTCGGGACAGTCAGCGGTAAGACCCTCCCTGTAAAGGACAAGTGCCACAGCATGATCTTCTGAACATCAAAAGTATGCTCATCCCACATTTTAAGATAGTTTCAAAAATGTGTAAATGAAGATAACATTCTACAAAATGATGTCTGTTCAAAGAAATGTCAAGAGGAAGGCATGCCACCCTGACACCTGCAACCACGCTTTTGTGTGTCTCAAAATTTCAACAGCAAACCAGCCACCTGTGTGTGCACACACTCGTGTGTACATGCACACAAACATACAAGTGTGTACCCAGATGGACATTTTAGCACACTTAAGGTGTGTGTGTGTGTGTGTGTGTGTGTGTGTGTGTGTGTGTGTGTCCCACAGTCGACTATGGCTTCTCTCAGGGAAGGAACACCCTTCTTGCAAATGGATGCTGTGAGATGGCGGCTTTACGTCCCTAGACAAGAACTTCCTCTTGATTTCATCACCAGGACACAGATGGCCCAGTGCACATCCAGTCCTGAAAGCAAAGAGCACTCTCTGATCTCAACAGGAGTCAGGTGCTCCCTGAAAATAATGCCAGCCCTGCACCCAGCACTTGCCTTCCAAGAGCCATTCCCACCATTTTCATAGCAACCCAACTGGTCATGTGATTCAAAACAAAACAGAAAGCATTACAAGCAAGTGTTCTCTTCAGACGGCACAATGTCAGGAGCCAGCGGGATGTTTTGGTTTAGAATCTTAAGTAATGAGTGAATGACATAGGGACGAGTGTGAGGTCTTCTGGTCCTCCGGAGCAGATCTTTTCTTCAGACTTTCGCGCTTACAAAAACAGGTATGGTTTGTGTGGTTTCGAAGCCAGGGCTGATTCTCACCAAGTCTGGTGTGCCCTTCATTCACTGAGCACTCAGTAGCCCTTAGTCAGGAGAGCGGCAGGGTCTCCTTTGTCCTGTACAATGCAGCAGAACTTCATGGTAACCTAGCTTGGAAGAGCCCTTTTCATATGAAATATAAATTAATCCAGAGGTCTACAGCTCTAAGTTTCCAGAGTTACAAAAAACAAAAACAAAAGCCAAACAACTTAACTTCCAAATTTCTCTAACATAGTTTGCATATGAATCTCAACTCCAGTCTCCCAGACAGGAAATTAAGGACAAAGGGGCACGCTTTTGAGGGCTTGTCCTACGACCACACCCACGTGACACAAAGAGTTCTTGCAGCTTAAACACCAACTGCTTGCGAGGGTCAGGCGAGGGTCAGGCCAGGCAGCAGTACTTTCTCCACCAGGACTTGGACAGGTCCCGCACCTTATCTGGGGTCCTGCTTTTAGACTTCTTGGGCTGTTGCTGGGAGTCCGAGTGCTGGATACCAGCAACAATGGCGGCGTCAAACACCTCTTTGAGGTTTTTCTGAGTCAAAGCTGAGCATTCAATATAGGAGACAGCTTTGATTTCCTCAGCACACAGTTTCGCTGCCTCCTCGGGGACTGGCTTCTCCTTGCATTTGTCCAGTTCGATGAGCACTTTGACATCTTCTCTAAGGTCCGACTGGGTCCCAACCAGGATGATGGGGGCCTTCGGGCAGTGACACCGAATCTCCGGTACCCACTTCTCACTGACGTTTTGGAAGGAGGTGGGGCTCACCACGCTGAAGCACAGAAGGAAGATATCTGCGTTGGTGTAGCAGAGGGGCCTCAGCTTGTCAAACTCGTCCTGAAACCAAATAGTACAAGGACATTACTCTTGTTAGCTCTCGCCACCTTAGAGAATGCCCTCAAGGACCAGGGCAGTCACAGAAAGCCTCCATTTTTATGGTCAGGAGCCGGTATCTCAGACTTGCCCTGCTGCCTGCCCTGGGACACAGGTGCAGCCTCTATAAGCTCCGAGGGACAGCACAGCCTTGATACTCCAAATGCGCTCTATGTTTCCTTAGTGATCACGACCACCATGCCATTCGCTACAGAAAGGCACTCAAAGCAAATGAGATCTTGCTCTTTCTGACCTTCAGCCCACAGTGACCTCAACTCTCTTTTAGCTTTTGGAACTTGGCAACTCTGAAGGTCAGTACTCATCCATGTTGGTACCCAAGAGCCAGCCCTGCTCCGCCTGACCACAGCCACCAAGGATGCCAATTCCTCCCGCCAGCCCCAGCGCACAGTGTGGAACCATGATCCTCAGAAATAAGAAAGACTGAGAAATGAAACTAGGGCTCCGTGGAGGCCACTATCCGCAGCAGTTTGACGAACTGGAACCCTCCCTGACATCACCCACGGACACTGGTAATACAGGCTTGTCCTGGCTGTATCTTCCCTTTCTCTTACTTTTGCTCCTTCTCTCATCTCTGCAAATGGCTAAGCTTCCACACAGTGTTTCAGACAGAAGGAGCACAGCTGTCCCGTGGTACAGAGACCTGGAGCAGGTAAATGAACACGGACGGTCTGCAGTCTACCGGCAGATTCTCCAAACACCAGACACAACAGGCACGAGGCAGGCATCCGTGTCTGCATTTCCTATCAGACATCTTCTAGAGCCCCGTGGCACCATTTCCTGCCCACAGGGAACTCCAGCTCAGCCTCAGCCCAGGAAAGCTGTCGCATCAGCTCCCTCTTATCTGAAATGTGTCTGTGGGTGCTGACATCCTCCAGCAGCCAACACTGGTGACTTCCCAAAGCAGGAAAAAGTCAAACGCTTTCAACGGTTCCCATGACTTGGTTTGCAGGTTCTGATCACCTAGAGCCCTATTTACAGGGCATCATTCTCCAACAATGACTGTCTCTGTTGGGGTTTCTATCGCTGTGATAAACAATAGGACTGAAAACAACACAGGGAGGAAAGGGTTTACATGATTTTATAGCCTGCAGTCCATCAGCCAGGGAAATCAGGACAGGAGCCTAGAGGCAGGAACTGAGGCAGAGGCCATGGAGGAGCTCTGATTACTGGCTTGCCTGTTATCTTATAGCATGCAGGATCATCAGCCCAGGTGTGTCACCTCGCACAGTGAACTGGGCCTTCCCACATCCATCACTAATTAAAAAACTAAACCAGAACCTGCCTGCAGGACAACCTTTCAGGGATATGTATTAGTTGTTTTTCTATTGCTGTGAACAAAACATCATGGCCAAGGCAACTATAAAAGTAAATTTTAAAAAAGGCAAGTAATAGGGCTTATGGTTTCAGAGTGCTAGACTCCATAATGGCAGAGCCAAGGCATGGTGGCAGGAATGACTGAGAGTTCACATCTTGATCCACAAGCAGGAGGCAGAAGAGGGCACACTAAGAAATCTTTTTGAAACCTCAATGCGGGGGGCAGGGGTGGGGGGTGAGACACATCTCTTCTAACAAGGCACACCTTCTAATCCTTCCTAAACAGTTTCTTCTTCCCAAATGGCTCTGGTCTGTACCAAGTTGACATAAAACCAGTCAGCACAGGCTGCTTTCTCGGATAAAAGGTAACCAACATCTGTCTTATTTGCATTAGTTATTCTTGGGCTGAGGGCCTATTTCCACTGTGGGTCAATAACCAAGTGGCCACACGAGACAGCAGTTAATAAGCTCAAGGGAGAACCCAGCAGCTCGGGGTGTGTCTGCCCCTGATGAGGTCCCTATATGTGAGCGCTGAGAAAGAATGACTTCAGTTTCTTGCTGTCAACTTCGAGCTGAAAGCACAAACGTAGAAACGTAAACCAGGCCATTGGGCCAGCTCGGGGACTTTGCCATGAGTCACCCGTCCTTTTCTGGGCTTTGAAACAGGAGCCTAAGCTTGACCAAGCTCTGGCCACGCCGGGAGGGGGAGGGGACACACAGGGAGAAAGTAGCCACCTGGCCACATCTGAAGCCCACAATGGCTTAGTAACTAGGCTCTGGAGCACTGCTCCCCATACCTCTGAGATTCTGGCTGAGGAGCTTGAAAGGAGAAGCAGAACTAGCCCCCTGTGCAGTGTGGACCAGAGACCTCTGAGATGTGCTGTCGCCTGCGGTGATGCAGCGGAGTACACGCTCAAGCACACACCCAAAGGCCAGGTTATCACGTCTTTGCCGGGCCTGAAGTGGGAACTCCGCACAGAGTGTTCAGGACAGGACAGACACAGACAGCCAGGACTGTGGATTCCTTCTAGTTGTGCCTTGTTTCCCCCTCGTTTTAGTGTGAAGATTTTTTCCAAGTAGACCATGCGTCAGAATGAGAAGAATTTCTGGCTCCTGGTGGAGAAGGCAACGGAACATCTCTCCTTCATCAACACTATGTGCTCCTAGGCCAGCTACATTCCTCACAGCCCCCTACTCATCTCTGTTCTATGTGCACAGGAGCCCATGAGCCAAGGTTACACGCCTACTATGGTCCCTGACAGGGAAACACAAAGGGAGCAGAAGGGAATTCTGGGTATGTTTGTGACAAGTGGAGCCATGCTGGAGTTCTGGTTCATTTAAAAACCAGGGCTACCCATGTTCATGCCCAGTGACCTGGGTAACCTGTGTATCCATTTCCTTTCCTGACCACCGGAAGAACGTGCTCCTTTGACATGGAGGTGTCATGTCAAATCCCTCAACAGGTGGGCTGCAGATCAGGCGTGGGGAGGGAGGGTAGAACACCTCTGATGACTCTGCTGCCGTCAAAACAAGCACTTGTCTGTCCTGCCGGCATCGGGGAAAACAGTCTTTGAAGCTGGCTTGCTACAAACCATTATAAGAACCCTGCTGGTTACTTAGTGGCCTGTTCAGTTATTCTTCAAGCTGGGAAGCACGACCCTCTCCCTGAAAGCCAGCAGAGCCTAGGAGACTAATTTCCAAACAAGAGCACAATGCTAATTCCTTTTCTCCTGATTATCAATTCCTTGGTGAAAATATTTCTAAGATGACTCTTATGCTTCCTTGACATTTTACAAGTTACTTTTTCATATATGCATACTGTCTTTACTTCATTCCTCCTCCCTCCAGACCCACCGCATCCCCCAACTCCACCCACTGTCTCTCTCAAATTCATGGCCTTTTTCTTTATTATATATACATATATACAAATAAATATGTAAATGCAACCTGAGTTCATTTGATATATTTTCTTTTAAACAGGATTTCATTGTATAGCGAGGCCCAGGCCAGCCTTGAACTCACAGTTCAAGGGCTACACAGATCTAAAACTCGTGATTCTCTTGCCTCTGTGTCCCAGATACTGGGAGTACAGGACTGAACCAATACTCTCAGTTTACTCCCTGATGTTTAGGATATCATATGAAGGATACATTTAATTCCTTCTTAGAAATACTGAGTTGATTTTCCAACATATCCATCTTCTCTCAAAATCCCACAGGCCAAGGTTTCGCCCTGCACTGTGCTGTTTTCCTTGAGAGCTCCTGAGAACTGGTCTACGACTACAGGTCTACAGCAGGCACGCCCAGCTCTGTGGGCACTTTTGTCTTGCTCTTTCTGGTTCATGCACTAAACCACATGGAGCCCTAAGGTGTTCCAGATGCCAACTCAGGACTCATCTTCCAAGGAAATCCCACCTCCTTCAGAAGCTAAGAGGGCAGGTAGAGACATCTGAGGGGTAGCACAGTGATTCCTGAGCCAATATCCTGGCAGCTCCTCACTAGCAGCTCTTCAATGGGGTCCATGATGTCTGTACCTTGGGGTTCAGGTCTACTGCCTCCTGTCTGGTCCTCAGGGTGCCTACAGCCACTACACACTTCTACCCATGGTCTACAGATGGAAAAACCCAACCTTCTCACTTTGTGTAAAACAACTCAGGGGGCATCATGCAAAAAATATGAAAGACCCAAGAAGATCGTCTCTTTGGTACTTTTTCCTTGGTTTGCATGTTTTCGAAAGGCGGCGTCTCACACAGGCTAGACTGGCCCTAAATGCCCTACGTAGCCAATGACTTTGAACTTCTAAATCTCCTGTCTTCACCTCCCAAGTGGTGAGATTTCAGGTGTGTGACCACCAGGCCTGGCATTTTTGTTTTTGAGATAGTGTCTTATGCCCAGACTGGCCTTGAACTCACTACATAGTCCAGGTTAGCTTTGAACTTGCGGCTCTCCTTCTGCTGCAGCTTCTTGAGGGCCGAGCATCACAAGCATGCACAACTCTGCCTGGATTTTGATGCTTCTTTCCCACACAGTGAACACACTGATGGGATTTGGCTTCTCCCACTCCTGAACAGCTTTCCTGGCTGGACTTCCACTCCACTGCCGCAGTTGTCACTTTGATGATGATCCGTTAAGACAGCCTAGTCTTCTGTCTCCTTGAGGTCTAAGGACTAAGCCAGAGCCAAGTCTCAAGTCGGCTAGCTTAGAGCAGTGAGTAACCTGAAGGCCCTGGCTTGGGAGGAAAACTGGGGGACACAGGCAGGCGATCTTCAGAAGCAGGGATAGTCAGAAAAGGGGTACGTCTACCCCCTGCACTTTGTCAGTTCTAGCATCATGGGGAGACAAGCTCACTGTCACTTGGGCATCCGAGCACTCACAAGCACCACGTGACCTTGGTGACTAGAATAGCTTCTACCAGATTAGAACCAACCAGATTCAATAGATTCAACCAGGCCCCAAAACTCTTCTGGAGGGCAGTGAGAGGACCCTACACCCATGACCCCTGCATCACTGCCTGGCTTTCTCTTCTGGTGCTCTGCCCTCAAAACAAGAAAGTAAAGAGAGAGTAAGTAGCCTTTCCTCCTCTGCTCCAACTTAGTATGTCTCTGACCACCATCCCCTGAGGTAGAATCGGGGAAGACAGATGCTAATATTCACTAACATAAGCTACAATTTCTCCCTGAACAAACTTTTAAGTATCTGGCTTATTAGCCTTGAATCAAGAAATTATAAAAGAGGAGGGGTTTACTCTGAGAAGTGATTACAAACCATTACTGTGGGTTTTTTTTTCTCTTTAGCAAAGGCCAGAAAAGTGAGAGGCATCAGAAAACCCTGTTCTGAGAAGGGCGGTTTCTGCCACTGCCTTCTTGTCTCTTGCCCAGAACAGGCAGGCCCTGTTTCACTGGCCCAGAGGGGTCCTTCTTCGCCTGCTCAGCTTCTCCCACTGCCTGCAGAGGGGCTGAAGCAGGGGTGGGCCCGCTTCCCCAGGTTTCACAATGACCCAGTTACTAGTAGGTTGTTTGCAAACCTTTAAAAGGCTGTTTCCTTTCCCAGTGCTGAGCTGTGTAACTTGATACTGACCTGTCCTGCCGTGTCACAGAGCTGGAGTCTCACAGGCCGCCCATCCACTGACACCACAGCTGGAGGGGGAAAGAAAGAGCAAGATGATTATCTGGACATCTTTCAGCCCCTCTGAAGATTGGCAGCTCCTCTTCTGGTCCCTCTTAGTGAACTAGGAGCTTGGCTAAACCCAGAAGCCAGGGGAGGTGTTTTTATGTACAAATGTTTCAAGGTGGGGGCTCCCTCCACCACAGAACATGAGGCAGTAAAGCCCTGACCCCTAGAAGGTGCCCCGGGAGGTTAGTGTTTTCCTCTCAAGTCGGGAAGATTAATTTTCCTGTCACCCGTGTTTCAAAGGACCTGGAAATAACACAAGGTGGGGGGGGGGGAGGTTAGGTGGGAACAAACTCTGTAGTTTTAAATCCGTGGAAGCTCTCATAGATAATTCTGTTTTCCCTTGGGAAAAAGTCTCCGGGCTTCAGGGTTTTATCATAAAACTCCAGCAGTTTTGAGAACTTGTACAAACACAGAAGGCCTATCACCCTATGTGTGGAAAAGGGCACTCCTCTCTGTCAGTTCAAAGAGGATTAAAAAGAAAAGCTGGCAGAGGGAAGCCACCCAGGTTCTCACCAGGCTCGAGGTGGGGTGAGAGCGAGAACTCCCATCCAGGAAACTCACGGAGGTTTCAGTTTAAATTAGACAATTTGTATCTTTCTGATAGCCTTTCTGGTTGTTTATAAATGTTTATGCTAGTGGGGAGTGGAGTGTGTGTGTGGTGATGGGGTGGAAGGGAGGTTACTCTTGCACTTCTGTGCTACCCATGAGGTTTCTGAAAGAGAGACAGTCAGGGTCTGGCTATGGAGATTAGAGGTCAGAGGTAAAAATTTCTAGGGGCAAGATTTTCACACCAGTTCCTGTGAATTTTTTTTTTGAACTTTTTCTTAAATTCCAAAAAGACTTCTAAAAAAAATCAAGATAAAGGATTGCTTTACTTTTGTATCTTTGTATGATACATGAGCCCACTCGTGAGAACTTGCTCAGCTAGGGACTGGCTGGAAGGACTGGGCCAACCGTCAGAAACCTAGACGGCGCAGGCGGGGCTCGGGCCAGGCAGGCGCCGGGCTCAGAAGAAAGGAACGTTCTCGCAAGCCCAAGCCCTCCCCGGTGCGCCTGGCCGGCTCACCCTCGGGGCAATCTCGGTTGCTCCAGGCGGAGACCCCCTGGAACTGAGTAGCCACGGATGAGGGCGCAGGTGAAAAGAGCACCTGTGCAACAGCTCGCTCCTGAGTCCCCGAGCCGGGTCGATCGGACACCCCGCCGCCGCCCCACTGTGCCGGTGCCCGGGGACCCGCGCCACCCCGAGCTCCCGCGCCTC